TTACTTGCATTCTCAGTTTTTACTTATGATTACTAAGGGATTTGTTCAATAATTTTCCATTTTTTGCTATGTAGCGTATTCAGTCAAGTCAACCTTTACAACACACTCTCATCCTAGCCTAAAACTGTTGTGGTTTATGGGATCAGCTAGTGTTAGTTTTTTGTTGTTTTTTGGATTTTTTTTGAGAGGAACATGACAGAAACTGGTTTGCAAATCAGATCATCAAAAACTACCTTTTTTGGATTAACACATTCACCAGAAGGTTTTCAAGCTTTTGGTTCCTTTAGACATAACCTGTATAATATGGCTAGAAGTGACTCATTGTGGCATGGAGGAGAAACTAGTACTTATTAATACAATACTTTTTGCTTTGCAAAAAAGTGAGAGTCAGCATTGCATTTCTTTGAAGGTGAAAGGCTTATGTCCCTTCCTGGTCCTTGGGTATTCCATTCTGTTATCTATCTAAAATTCTGACTGATGTAAATTATTGTATGATATCTGTTCATGTCTCCACCTTTTCAGGATTGTCCCTAAAACCACCCATATCATTCTCTACTGTAGCTTTTCCCCTCCAGTCAGACAAATATCTCACACCCTCTTCCAAATATCCTAAAGATTACTCTGTAGTCCCATCTGACACTTCCTTCATTTCTATTATTATTTTTTTTATGATCGAGTTAAGTTTGTTTCAAAATCCTACTAATACCGGGGGTAAAGGGGTGAGTGGTTGCCCATGGTGGATATGACAGAGCACTCCCCCTTAAGATGCTTCTCCTGACACGCCCAAACTTGGGAGGGCCTGGACCCCTGGGTAGAGTGATGCACCAGCTGGGCAGGGAGTTGGGCAGATGCCCTCAGCCTGGTAGGGAGGCAGGCCAACATCCAAAGTGGGGCAAGGAGGGTAGGAGACAACTCCAGCTAAAACCAGGGTGCCACACTTTACTAAAAATGAATGTGTAAGCATTTGGACTGCAGAGAAGCAAAAGAAAGAAAGAAAGAAAGAAAGAAAGAGAGAAAGAAGAAAATGGCATCTAAGTTTTCAGAGGAGGAGTTGTCCTGTCCTGTGTGCTGTGAAATCTTTAAGGATCCAGTTTTTCTGCATTGCAGTCACAGTGTGTGTAAAGTATGTTTGCAGCAGTTCTGGGAGACCAAAGGATCCAGAGAGTGTAGGACAAAATCATTTATGGAATACCTCCACTGAACTTGGCTTTAAAGAACGTGTGTGAAAATTTGGGTTTTTACAGGAGAGAAGTCACAGATTTTCACCAGTGTCTGGACCAGTCTGCACAGTGAGAAACTCCAACTTTTCTATCTGGACGATCAACAGCCGGTGTGTGTGGTGTGTCAGACTTCAAGAAAACACACCAACCACAAATTCTGCCACTGAAAGAAAATGCCTATAATATTTCCAAATACAGAGACAGAGTGTAAAAGATTTGCATTTTATTAGCCATGTCTAATGCTTAGATAATTAATAAATTAAAAAAGTGGATTTGTCCCATTCAGATAGCTCCAGATATTTTCTGGCATGAGGAAAACAACTTGGTCTTCTTGATAAACAACTCTGGGGAAACCCCCTGTCCACTCACCATCACATGACAAGGAACTTTTGGTCTGGCTACTATAATTCACTCAAGATTGCAGTATAGCTGTAGAACATGATGCTAATGTTACCACTTGTATTATTATGAGATTTCTATCTGATTTGCGAGGCTGAGAAGATTCCTGGTGTAGATACTAATTGTTGCCTTGTTTGTTTTGTCAAAGAACTGACTGGCAAGTTTTTTTGTTTTTTTTTACATTTTTGTAATTCATTTTGTGACATGAACACAATTAAATTACACAATTATAAAAGCTTTTGAACAATTTTCATTTCACTGTATTTATCAGGTTTGTAACACTGTTACAAGTGCAGTGTAATATAAAGTGTGGGTTTGAAAGACCTTATATCTTTCAAATGACATAGGGAACATTGTTCAGTTATATCCTCTCAGTGACCAGTGATGTTAATCTGAGAAAACAGGGTGTAAAATAAGAGCTGAAACACAGAGTCTGCATGCAGTATGTTGATTTGTTTCAGGAGGAGCTCAAAACTGTACTGAAGACCCTACAGGATAGACTGAAGATCTTTAAAGACTGTAAACTGAACTGGAGTCAGACTGCAGAACATTGATTCTGATCAGAACATCCACTGATATTTACTTTGTTGTTTTACAGAACTACAAGGCCACAGTGAAAAGGTGAGTGATGCAGTTCCTGTCTCTCTCTTTCTTATCTATTTCTCATCTCTGTTTAGGGGCAGATGCCAATATTCTAATGGTCCAAAACTGAATCTCTGTAATGGTCTCAAATTATCAGGAATATGAAAGTGATGATGAAATTATTTTTTAATCAAATAAACTTAATAATAATAATAAAAAAAAAAGAATTAGATGACTGTTTTAGTTAACACAGACTGGATCTTAGCCTTTTCATTCAAACCCAGTGGATTTATTGTAAATAAAATAACATGATTTATATTATGTAACACTGATTTATATTATATAAAGCAGTCTTCCTGACTAATTAGAGTAAAATAGCAGGTGACCATCCACAGAGCCAACACCACACCCCACTGCACATGCCTGATCCAAACCCACAGCAACACTGCAGCATCCCGATGAGCTTTCAGGAGCATGTGGAAAAACATCTGTCCAACCTGCAGTTCAGGGTCTGGGAGAAGATGCAAGACACTGTCCAATACAGTAAGACTCGTTCTCTCTTTTTCTGTTTGTGTATGTATGAGTGTATCAGTGTCAGCTTGTCCATATCGACAGGTGTAAATTCTGTTGAAATAGTAATTACCTATTTTGAGTGACTAAAGATTTTTTTTTTTTTTTAAATTTGACATATATAAGTCAATTTTGACAGATATGTCAGTTGATTTTCTCACCTTTCTAGATGTAGCAGGGTCATCTAGAAAGCCAGCATGCTCCCTGGCCAACGTGCCATCCATAGAGTTATTACTGCAAAATGGGAACTGCAACAAGTGCTAAAAGAGGCCAACTGGGGGACAAATCACATTGCCCCATGCTCACTCTCTGCACATTTTCATTCAGATAGGAGGAGCAGATGGCAGGACAGCTAATTACAGGGTTGTCAGGTCATGATTTTTACAAACTGAGCTATTTTAAAAATACTCAGCAGCTGTCATGGCCTTGTTTCCCATGCAAAAGCATTTATACTAGTGATCTCAAACTTTCGGACCCCACTGTACATGTATATGCTGTATATAACTCTCTTGTGTCTTCTTTTACAGCACCCATAACTCTGGACCCCAACACTGCAGATCCTTTTCTCATTCTGTCTGATGATTGGACCAGTGTGAGATGCAGCGACAACATACAAAAGCTTCCTGATAATCCAGAGAGATTTGATGATTGCTTGTGTATCTTGGGCTCTGAGGACTTTAACTCAGGGAGACACTTCTGGGATGTTGAAGTTGGAGATTACACAATCTGGTTTGTGGGTGTGATGACAGAATCAGAGGAAGGGAGACATGTTCTCCAGATAAGTTATACCACATGTGTGTGGTATAAGAACAGTCAATATAAAGCATGTTCTACACCCAGACACTCACCTCTCAGTAGCACAGAAACTCCAGAGGACCAGAGTGCAGCTGTTCTTGGATGAAGGAAAGCTGTCATTCTCTGAAACTCTCACTAACACACACACACACACACACACACACACACACACACACACACACACAGATTTACTGACAAATTACTGCCATTTCTAGTTGTTGTAAAGTACCTCCTATGAAAATCCTCCCACTTGAGTGCTCTGTAAGAGTGAATTAATTCAGCTGAACCAGGTATTATTTTTAATTAAACCTTCTTGATTAAATGATTGATATTCATTGCAAAAGTCCTCCTTTATATTATATACAGTACAGTTCATTAACATTAGATTTAGGTCTTGCTCATTGTAGAACTGCACAGTAAGATGTATATTTGTTGATTAAAGCTTTTAATCAATTAAAGCCTTGGAGACTTGTGTAGGGTGGGAAAACTGTAAAACTTGGATAAAATGATAAGCTGGCTATGTGTTATGTGTGAAACTGTGCAGTGGAGATGTTTCTCTGCACCAGCAGTTTCTGGTTCTGCATAGATCAAATGGACTTAAATGCCAATCCTGCATTAGATTACCATATACAGTTTAAAATACAATTTAGGGTGCAATCACCTTCTTTACACTGATAATTTAATAAAGATGTAAAATAATTATAATGGTCTCACATTAGATTGTTTCTCAAGAAGATCTTTGTTTATCAAGATGAGAAAATAAGGTTTTTTTTCCCTCATTAAAAAACCTAGATGGAAAAGAAAAACACTATGCTAATGCACTTCTATTGACCAGATATTTTGGTGATGTAAGTCAGTGGCGCATTCAGCGATTCAAATGCACCAATTCAAACGCACCACTGTGCCCACTCCAGTCCCCTAACCAAGTCTCCCATTCAAAAGGAACTGGCATGGATTTCATTGGGCGATTAGGCCTGTCATGAAGTAACATTTTGTACTAGTCCTGGAGGATTGTGTGACAGTGGCTTCAGCAGTCAGACGACACTAAAACTGTCAAAAAAAATCCTATAATGGCTAATCTTAATTTGGGGTTAATCAGAATCATTTCAGATTTTGATTTCAGAATCACATCAAAAAAGCCTGAAGCTGTAATTGAAAGTTTCCAAGTATAGGCCTGTTGTACTACCAAATAATATGGTAATATGTAAGCAGTAGCAAATCTACAAAGTTTAGATATGCCATCATAGAAAACCTGCATTTGGCAGATCAGCCTCAGTTCTACAGGAATGTTTTCTGTAATTACCTGCTCAGTTACTGCAGAGGATAAGAAAGAATGTTACCACTGGAATCATGGCTCACTCTCTGATTTTAGGGCAGACTAAGCATTTGCTCTTCCATAAAAATTAAGTATGGAGACATGTTGCTTACTTTGGGTCCCTGGAGGACTAGTGGTTAGGACACAGCACTCTTACCACTACAGCCCAGGTTCGATTCCCAGCCAGGAACCCAACCCCAGCCACTGGGATTGTGGGCAACAGTGTGCTCTCAGTGCTGGTCCAAAGCCCGGATAAAACTGGGGAGGGTTGCATCAGGAAGGGCATCCGGCATTCAAACTGTGCCAAATCAAATACACGGACCAACGATCCACTGTGGCTACCCCTAATGAGGGCAGCCAAAAGAGGAACAACAACATGTTGCTTACTTCAAATACATTAACAGTACCCTGATACAATATTTAATGAATTCATTCATTTACATACATTCCCTGTAAACAACAGAACGAAATATATATACACATGTATTGTCTTATGGGAGGTTAACGAATAATTATATACAAGATAAACGAAAATGTGGGCAGTTATTAGTGCTTAGGTGCCATTGATCACTAGCTGAAAAAAAACAACAACTGTATTCACAACAAAAGGACAACTGCATGTTACAGCATTTCAATAAATGAGGATGGATGCGGTGAGTCTTCTTGACTAAAATCATAACCACTACAGACTTTTTGTGGAATAAAGTAGTTCATCACAGGTGCACCGAAGCCCTTCACTGGAATGTAAACAGGTAAATTCAGTGCACCTGTTTAGAATCTCTGGAGGTTGAAACGTGGTCCCAAATATCAGAATCCTGACTACACGTTAACACTTTAACCGTCTTGTATCTGTAACAGCACGCTGTGCTACATTCGGGTCTTTACTCTCTTCCTTCCCAAAGCCCTGTCCCCAACGACCACCTGGCCCAGACGCGTCTACAGCAATATCAATGAGGTCATTGGGGCAGAGCCACTGCAGGAATATAAGGAAGAGGAAGTTGATGACAGCCACAAAGGAGAATATAGAGCCAGCAACAGTGCCACAGTGAGAGCGCAGCCTCCGCAGTCGAGCAGGTAAGGGCAGGACTGGCTGCCTGCATGCACGGTTGTACACCTACCAACACACAGAAACATTAAAGTTTATATAGTACGACTGCCATAATGCACGATCAAAAATTCAATTCCAATAATTGTCAAGATATTCTCACAACATAGGATGTTTACAAAATGTTTAGTTTACAAAAAGTTTACACACACCTTTTCTGTGCGCTCAGCGACGTTTCTCCAGGTGTAGAGAGTTTGGACCTGGCGGTGGATGGCTACAGGAGAGGGCACTTTGCCTTCACGTTGCCTGACGATGACCTTTTCCAAGCCAACACAAAGGGAGCTGACTGTCGGCTCACACAGGGTCACCAACTCATCGGGGAGAACCTCTGGTATACCTCCAACACGAGTGCTTACCACCTACATCCACAAAGAAACGGTGAAGAAGAAAGCAAACTACATTGCTTTCTTCTCTCCTGGTTGACAGTCCATGCACCAAACAAGCAGTGTGTGCTGTACGTGCACTCAAAATCTCACAGGATTTCATCAAATAGTCATGGCAGTGGTATTTATTTCCCAATAAGTATTCCAAACTACAAGCACACACATCATTTATAAGTAAACACACTGACCTGTAGGCCACAGCTGGCTCCCTCTACTATGGCCATGCAGAAGGCTTCTGTTAGTGATGTGTTGAGGAAGATATGTCCTTGCACCAGCACGTCCCGTACGTCCTTGTGATCCAGAGCCCCCAGAAGACGCACCCTAGACAAACAATAACATTATGCATACACACAGAGTGTGTTTAATATTCTACTCTAATCAGCTTACTAGTATGTAATATATACTATGTATGAAACCCAGCAAACCATTCAAGTTGCCTGTATTTTCATAGGTTTAGGAGCCCATCCATTAAATAACCAGTTATGGACATTTTGTAATGCATTATGGATTATTTTACTTCTGTTTTTGAAAACATAAACAATTAACAGTCAAAGCTTTGTATATACCCAGCACATCTATATGACAGGCACTCTCCAGTCAAGAGGAATAGTAAATACAGCAGAGAAACATAGGGCAAGTCTTTCTTACCTGTCATGAAGCTGATATTTCTCTCTAACTTCTTCTAGAACAAGGCGCTTAGGACCTTCTCCACCAATAAGAAAGCAGAGATCTGGGTGCTTGGCACACAGCTCTGGAATGATTCCACCCAAGAGGTCAATTCCTGAAAACAGTGATGGACCAATCAATCACTGCACACACTCCCACACCATGAAAGTCCACTACTACATCACACTCTGCCTACCTTTCCTGTAGACCAACCGGCTTACTACGACGATGGTTATCTTGCTATTGTCACGGCGACTGGGGTCAGGTGTGAAATCGGTGGGGTCGACCGCATTGGGGATGACGGAAACGATGTCGGGGTTGAGGGCGGCTCTCAGTACAGTGTTCTCCTTGCTGGTGTAGGACACACATACGATGTGGTTGGTGTCGCACAAAGACACAGTAAGCAGTTTATTGGTCAGCACAGAGCTGAGGTCAGCAAATCCGAAGAGCGAGTGGTCAGTGAACACAGTGTTGAGACCCATGGTCTTGGCATGGAACAGAGCATCATGGGCCATGGCTGAGAAGGAGCTGTGGGCATGCACCACAGTGATACGCTCACGCACAAACACACATCTGAGCAGTGGCAGGCTGTGGAAGCAGGTGGTGGCTGTGGACTGGTTATACATCACCTATTGGAAGAAGTCATCATTCTCAATTTCTGGTAGCAAATTAAAGTGAATGAACTTGTGTAATAATTTTAAAAATGTTTTGCTCTTCAGGTGAGGGACTTCACTTTAACTTTAATGAACTTTGGTCTTTATTTCTGACATAATATTGACACACACTACACTCAGCCAAAGCTTCTTCATGCTTACTGCTACCAAGACACAGGTAACACCAGTACTTGTGTTCCAGAAGTAGGATGGTATCCTTTCATATCATGATTATTCTCCAGCATTCGGTATATGAAACTTTGATGAAGGGGCAGAAAGTGGAAAAATGCAGCTGCATATCAGCAAATTACCAGATAAGTTAGGATTGCGATAAAAATGCATGGTTATGGTGATGAAAGCAATATATCATCATAGAGTACATAGGATGATCAAAACCTAAACCAATTACTTAAATTTTCAACCTAGTGAGGTCATTTTTAACTCACAGACCTGAAGTGGGAGGTAATAAACCTTCAGTCCATTGGTGAGGTAGCGCACTCCACGCCGGTCGCCATAGGCATGTGTTACTATCACCACCTTATGGCCCTTCTCTATAAGGCACTGTGACAGCTGGTAGATGTGGCTCTCCACGCCACCCATGTTGGGGTAAAAGAAGTCAGACACCATGCAAATGCTGTGCTTTCCGCTCTGCAGATATCCATGACATCTAGGAGTGCTGGAGGAGTGTGTGTCAGGAGGGATTTCTGTGGATGAGTGTGTGTGAGGACTGAAGGGCTGTGCGTCAGATGGACAGGGCACAGGAGACTGGATATCACCTCTCCTTCTTTGTCTCATTTTGAGGTCTGGTCATGGACTAGAAAGTGGAGAACCTGTAATGCAAATCCAAAGAAAGTTTCATTCCTAAAGTCCACTTTCCAGAGTCAGGCAAATTGCAGAATTCAAAATGAGTAAACTCCAGTCATTTTTTTGGAAAAGGGAGCAGAGTGACGAAAGAAGACACACAGCCAAAAAGTCAATGAGTGCTAATAAGCTGTTATTGTAGAGTAAACCCCGCCCCTGGGGGTGGGACACATACCTTCTACAAAGCGTTTAATTGGACCAAAAAATGAGTCATCAAAGTCTCTGGAAGTGAAGGATAATAAAAGGAAAATGACACCAACTTTGATTTCAGATTAGAATTAGAATTCAGTAAGTAAAGTAAAAAGTTTTTATATATTTTTTTCAAATTCATGTCTTTAAAATACAAAATTAACTAAGTAATATTACATTGAATGTTAAGACAGCTAGTTCTTCTGCTTGCCATCTAATAACAACTCATTTTCATGTCAGTGGTTCTGCCAAAACAAACAACAACAACAAAAAAAAACCCTGAAGTCAGATTCCGGCTGTTGATTAGATTAGGTGATTAGAAACATCTGAGCACATATTTGATATGTCGACCACACAACCGCTCTACAAATATTCCATATAAAATCCAATACAACACTTGTTCACCTGATACTGCCTCAAATACGACTCCGTCTTTCAAAACAAGCCATTAAAACCTTCAGACACTTCCGCCGTCGGCGCTTTTCTTCTTCACCACTAACTTATGAAGTGCAATTCGGTTCAATGTGTCACACCTCCCTCTAGTGGACAGCTCATGAACACAGAGCTCATGATACAGCCAAGAGCTCTTCTGGTACGAAGAAATGTAGAGTAATTCGGTCATTTAATTAAACCACAATGTCTTTAGTGAACTGCTTCTCTCTTGTGTATCCATGAATATATATTCAATTGCTTTTTTTAAACGAAAGGCTTAATATTACTGATTATATACACTGATCAGCCATAACATTAAAACCACTGACAGGTGAAGTGAATCTACCTACTGAATGTGACAGAATCTGCTCAGAGGAAGGGAGCTATATTCTCCAGATATGGAGTCTGCTGTGTATGGTATAAGAACAGTCAATATAAAGCATGTTCTACACCACATCCGGACACTCGCCTCTCAGTAGCACAGAAACTCCAGAGAACCAGAGTGCAGCTGTGGGATGAAGGAAAGCGGTCATTCTCTGACCCTCTCACTGACACACACAAATTTACTAACAAATTACTGCCATTCCTAGGTGTTGGTTGTAAAGAATCTCCTCTAAAGATCCTCCCACTTCAGTTCTCTCTAAGAGTGAATCAGTTTAGTTAGAGCTGAGTTAATAAAATATTTTTTATATTAATAATTTGTATTCTTTCTGCAGGCAAAATTGTCTTTGTTCAGACAATTGTCTTTATATCATTACAGTTCAGTTTGTTCAACTGTTATGTCAACAGTTGCACAGTCCTTGCACAGCCCTGCAATGTTACTTAGTTAATCTAACAAAAAAATATCATAAAAATCATTTTTTTTTATATAATAATACTTTATCTTAATCATTATTTTGCAG